GTTCAATTACAAGTTTGTTCGACAAGTTTGTCAAGGGCTTGTTTTCCTGTTTTCTTTCCCTTTTCGGTTTTGTTTTTGTTCTGTCTCTATTGTTATTTTTATTGTTATTAGCATTATCATCATCAATAATTATAACAATACAAGGCATTTGGACATTGTAGATATAAAAAAATATCTTGTTTGATTTTCTTCGTAAATCTTGAGCTTAAAGGAAACGATAAAATGCTGCGTTAAAACGAGTGTCCTATTTATTGTTATTATTTTTGTGTTATGTAATTATCTACTCTGATTAATTTTTTGTTTGTTTATTTTTTTCCGTCTAGTTTTATTTGCTAACGTTAACGCGCTAACGTGTTTTGATTTTATGCGTTTGCCGTTCTATCCCTCCAGACGTTCTTCTTATAACGTCCTTTACGACTATGAGAAAGTTCATCTCCTGCCTGGTTATCCCAAGAACTCATCAGACTCTCTCCATTTAGCATTTTACGTACTGCAGCCTGATTTTCTCTTCATCGGAAATAGCTCAGTTCTTCCTCGTGACACTTTGGTGGCCATTATGACAGCTCACAAGCCCGACATCGAGGAAGCCATAGGAACAAACATCTCTGGTATAGAAGCTTTATTTAAACCCCCCACAACTACTGAGTCACCAATAGCAAGCAACATGTATCCCTACGGACCGCAGCAAAAAGACAATGAATTCGGTCTGGACGATTCTCGTTATTACTATTATTACTACTATCGCCGTTGTTTGAAGATCAACACAGATTGGATTGGAATTCCGTTTTTCTCGGAGAGGCATTACAAGCTATATGTAAGTAAAAAATCTAGTTCCTATAGCAGACGAGCTCAAAAGAAGATGGAAACATCCCTTTATGTTAAAAGCGCATAGACATCTTCGGGTTGCCTGTACAATACCACTCAGAATAACGTTCATGTAAGATTTTCCTTTCTGTAGTGAGCTGTTTTATATTGAAATTCTTTACCTAACGAGGGAATTTCGCGTTTAATTGCACTTGAAAACCGGTATCGTACAAATCGCGAAGTATTACAATTTGATTATAGTTGTTATGTACATGTAGACGCCAAAAAAACAATTTCACGTCGCCTCGATTTTAACTCGCAATTCCACGCTAAATACCTTGCTTCGCTAATCGATCAGAATGCGAGATTCTATTCGTTTATGCGATTCTTTTTCCGTAGAGGAATTACGTGCCCTCGCTTCGATAGCGAAATAAAGGGAAAAGAAGGAACAACCTCTAACTCTTTCCTAAATTTTCTCTCTATGAAATACCTTTATTGTTCCACAATTGCATACGCGTCGAAAGGCGGTTAGAAAACAAATGTTTTTTTTGTGGATTTATTTTTTTCTCTTCTTTTTTTTATGATGAATCTGCCATGTAGCCAACGCTGACACAACACTCATCCAAAATGTTTCGCCAGGGTGTAACTCATCCGGAAACTACACATGTACATAGTATTTCAATCTTGTTAATTTTACAATCTTTGTTTATGGTTTTTTCAGATTTGTCGAAATGGTATAATTCAGCTGGACTATGAGTGGAGCTGGTGGTGGCCACGGAAATTTGGTATCTACTGGTGGTTGAGAAACATGGGTATTATTGCGCCTTTCTGGGCTACAACCGATTCTTATTTTGCCTTTAGATACGGTCATTCAAAGGTTTATTATCAAGTGTACAGGCAAGCCAAAGAAACATCAAATGAAATTCTGGATATGGCTTCAAAGCATGTGCAGAGCTACAACAAAGGATTTGGCGACTTTAAGGCCACTTGGGTCCTTGTTGTGACCTGGGAAAAGCTCTGTCCATACGTGTATTATCCATACTACTATTACTACCGAGACATCAACGAGCAGAATTTTCAGTTGAATTGTCCCCGAGTAAGTAATATCATTATCGTTACTGTTGCATTGAATGTAGTAAATGTAGTTACCATATATCAACTGTAGGTCAGAGTGACTCACTTTTTGGTGAAATGATCTCGTCAAGTTTCATAGAAGCAGGTTTCATGCACGAATGGAACCTCCTTTACTTCTCGGCTGTGTAATTGATCAAAACCTGAGTGAACACATGTTACACATATGAAAGATTTTGTAAACCTTATCAACTACAGCGAGGCCATTTTACTACTGATGTGTAATGTAAACCATCTGAGGAGGTAATTCCGTCAAGTTACGTATGAAAATCTGAATTATCCTTTATTTTAATTTTTTGGATTGTTTTCCAGAGTAACACCTTCCAAGCTGTCTTGATAACCGATGGGTTTAACGCATTTTTGATGTATAACTACCCCCCTAAAGGAATACAGTGGCTGGTTGACACAGAGCCGTAAGTACTCTTCACTTTAATGAGTGGCGAAAACACTGGGAACTCAGTCTGTACTTGTTTTCCACTTTTGATTCATTTTTAATCTCTTTAGAGAATTCTTATGAATTATGGACTTATAGCATTATTACCTATTTTCAAGTTTGTTAATCGTCCAGTATCTCTATTTGCAGTTAGATCGGGTTTTGAAAGTGCCGCAATGTGATACTTTACTTCACTTTAATTGGAGACCGAGCACTTTCCTTCGAGTCAAAAGAAACATTAACAAAATCATTGGGTATTTTTACAGTATGCAGAACAGTATCGACACATTATCGACACACCACCGACACACTAACGACACACTACCGACACATCACCGAGACACTATCGACACACCATCGACACACTACTGACACACTACCGACACGCCACTGACACACTACCGACATATCACCGACACACTACCGAGACACCACCGACACACTGCCGACGCGTTGGTAAGATCAACTAGGAAAAGCGACGTAAGCTTTGTGCTTGGTTTCATATTCACTTTGGGTGGTTACTTGAAGGATAGTTTCCATTTGATGATAATACACAAATGTATTTGCTTTGTTTCATCTGTTGCTATCCAAATCCGAACACAAAAAAAAGGCGTTGTGGCCCATTTCTCTCAATAGAAAATATTGTCATTCCTAACAAATACATTTTGTTCTATTGCCAAGTTACTTTCTTTTTTCCCTTTTATCTATGTAGATATTGATGAATGTGCTAAAGACCTCGATCGCTGCAGTCAGACTTGTACAAATACCGGTGGAAGTTATAAATGTTCGTGTCAGACAGGCTTTGAGTTGAAAAAAGATGGCTACGGGTGTGAAGGTAATTGTTTGCACTCTGCGATTTACTCCTATCATATTGAACATTATTCGCAAAGTCTCCACTACTTGTTTATGGTTGCCTTACATCGGCTTCGCAGCATTGAAACCTTATACTTCCCCTAATCAAAAACTAATTCTCTACACTGTCTCCTATACATTTCTTGTAATTTTTGTTCTTTGAATTTGTTGGTAAGTCAAAGAAATCCCACAATTGATATCCTTCTACTTCCCATTACCCTTCTGCTCGAAAATGTTTTGATACTGTAGTGAGAAATACAGCTTTGGTCACTCTTAAGAGCGATAGATTAAGCGGATGGCAGTATTCCTACTCACTCCTTAGGGTTCAACAGTCCATCGCAGGTAACCTCTTTCATTAAGTTCTCCGCTGCACTCAATTACCATTATATAAATTGT